ACGTAGCCTGTGCGTAGCCACGATTTAGCTCGTAGTCAGAGCGGCTATCTGTAGCCCACTTATAGTCAAACTTGATTCACTGTAGTTTTTTCACGGTTCAGCACGCATGTGTTCAGAGGATTAATTGCTAAATTTTTAATAGAGTAAAAAGTTTTATCATTTGTATATAATGTTCTTTTTAGCAGCATCATATGACCCCTTTAAATGATTATGCTGATAATATAATTTGTAATAAAAAATAAATTTATTTTCATTATGGGTCTCAGACTTTTGGATACCACGGTAGCTTTAGATCCCTAAGAACAATGGCACATGCAGTAAAAAAATGCCCTTCTCGCTTTTCTCATATAGACACATGCAGTCATATGCACACATTTATATTCTCCATCTGTCGTGCATGATAACACATGTGGTTTTGTGACATGGTTCTATCTGACACAAGGTCACACATTTCTTTCTACCCACAAACCTCCTGCACGTTTCACATGGGAAGTAGCATCTAGTGTGGTATTAAGCCACTTCCTCCATGCAACAACTATCTGGAAGAGACAGACACCGCTGAAAGAAATACAGCCACACCCACTCAATACAACACGTGCGTTTGACCAGGCAAAACACTCTGAATCATATAAATGATGCTATACTTGTGCCTATGTAACTATGCTCCCAAAGATCCTGGGTGAGGATGAGATGATGTTTAAGTGAGAGACGTAATTATTAAAGATGTTCAGATCTCATCTGATAAAACAGACAGAACCGCAGACATATATAAGAAATCAAACAGAAACACATAGCTACTCCTTTTACAGCAGTGCACAGGTGGAGAAAAAATAGATTAGAAAAAGCGAAATACATAAGAGTTCAAATATGACAGTCCTCACCAGTTCAACTGATCCATAGTGTTTCCGGCTGAACTCTCCCCGCCTGCACCCAAGATCCTCTGATGCTGAGCTGCAAAACAGAGCACATAACCATTTAAACGGAATTCATTAAGTTTAATGGCACACGATAAGTTTTGCAATACAGATCTTTTTATTCTCTTGGAAAGAATCAGCTGAAATATTTGTATATGTTATGCTTTTAAAACAACCATATTGTTAATGTGATTTGCTATCTGCCTCATCACCACATGTGAACACAGCATTCTAGTTTCAATACCAGAAAATTGCATTCCAAAAAGTAAAAGCCCCGCCCACTCACATCTAGGGATGGGCGATATCTTATCGTTTGCGATATACCGGTAAAAATTCTCCACACGATAAGAATTCGTCTTCCCGCGATAATAACGATAAAGTCTAGTTGTTGACATATTTCTGTGTACGACTGTGTGGCGTGACGTGAAGGAAGGCGGACGTGAAATTGAGCAGCTCCTTCTACAATCTGGAACAGGTTTGGCTAGGGCTGTACAGTGCGACAAAAATCGGTCTGAGCCTTGAGTAAATGTACTACAGTAGCACATGTGCGACACAGTTTTACGCGCCACCTGCTGTCAGAGAGTGCGTCTCATTCAGACCTGCTGTTTTTGTTTCGTGCAGATGTTTTATGTAGCAAATAAATAAATAACACCTAAAGTCAGACCATTCTGTTTTTGTTTTAAATCCTGAAATTAATCTAAATCAAATCAAAAACAACTGCCCGTGCAGATCATGATTAAAATGCAGTGGTTGCCTCTAATTTCAAATGGCTAGATATTTTTGTTTAAAGCCAGTTTGTTTGTTAGTTATAAAGCAAATAGCCAATAAATAAATTTGCTTAAATATCAGTATCAGAATCCAATTTGCTAGTTAAAAAAAAAAAAAAAAAAAGAAAGAAAAGAAAATCTGAATTAGCTATGATCGGCGCATCACTAATTAAAATACCAAGTAAAAGGCCTCAAATTTGAAGTACAATCTGGGATGTCTTTTTCTATCAATTCTTCAATAGGTAGATCTTGTCTTTCATAAAGGCCGAGGTCAGGGATCTTAGGCCTAAAAAGGTTGGTGACCACTGCTCTAAAGAAACAGGATTCCCTAAATTATCGTCATTGATATCGTTATCGCAATAAATATCAGAAATTATCGTGATATATTTTTAAGCCCATATCGCCCATCCCTACTCACATCCCTGTGATGTTGCAGCCTGACACTTTTTGAGTGAAGTAATTTCAAATTATTAGAGTGAGAACCACATGCTCAGTGACTGACAACTAGACACCTCAAAACCTCAAAGAGGATCTCTCCCATTGCAACCACTTCACAGGAAGACCATAATGGCACTAAAGGTGTGTAATTTCTGTGCCACTAGCATCGCCAAATCAAATACCATGATAATGACGGTTTCAAACAGGTTTCCCAAATATTCCCCACCAGAGCTCAACAATAAGGATGACCCACTAGACAGAACTATCACTTTCCCCATCAAGTCAATGCAGGTGCCTTTTTTTTTACATTGTTTACATTGTTTTCCAACAAAGGTGTGAGCATTGCTTTCATTGAGTGACTTAAAAGTGGTATAATTTCCAGCTATTATTGCGAATAAGAATTTTGATTTATATGTAGCATAAGCTAGTATAAACAATTATAT